GACCAGTAATATTTGGGGTCACAAGTTTTTGCCGGGGATATTTTGTGGGTCAGAAGACAAAAAGTTTGGGAACCACTGCCGTAGAGGGTTAATGGGAATTTCTTCCATTTTTAAAACAACCATTTTCCTCTAAATATCAAAGTGCTTCACAGGAACGGAATTATCTTAACTATTAGGACATTCCTGCAGGARTGCTACAGCTAGCTGCCGCCGGTGATGGCTTCGCTCGCAAATATCCAGATAAAAAACTGTGACAAGTGTTGTAAAAGTCTGTGTGAGCCATTTCGAATTCTGAGATCTGAGTTTCACGATGGCAGTTGGACTAGCCTTTAGCCTTTAGCTCATCAGTCCAGTCAGAACAGAATGACGTCTCCATACGGAGTTTATAAAAAGACCAATCTTTAACAGGAAGGATGTCCATTCTGACAAATTTTTCCAACATTCAAAAGGTCCTGACTATTCCTTTAAGAAAAAAAAACTATCCAAATTTAAAAGGCACAGTGACGTTGACTTTATATTTTCTTTAAATACACTTTTCGTCTCTCAGTCCATCAGAGAAGCTGAACAGGGTTACTATCAGCTTAAACCTTAACTGGATTCTTTATTTTACATTTTCAAAATAAATTTGTCAGTTTTATTTTAAAAAAAATATTTTGGGTGGAAGTTCTCTAAAAGATCTTGACGGTCCCTGAGACATTTCTCAGGCTCTGCCTATATTTGTTAAAACAAACCAACACAAAAAAACAAACAAAAAAAAAACACCAAGCTTTTATAAAAGTGGTGCCGCAGCAACAGACTGAGCTAACATCTAGTTCTACCTAGCATGGCTTCAYTCCAGTTAGACTAAAAGGCAGAGTCGTTACTCTGCTCCTGTAGTTTACTACAGCTTAGGATTGTTGGAAACAAAGGGGAAGAGTATAAACTCTGTGAAAGGATAAAATAACATCACGATGAGATGGAAGAAAGGAGGATCTGATTGTCACCCTTCTGATTAGACCGCTGTTCCGAGGACCTGAACGGCACTGAAGTAACCACGTGACAAAAAAAAAAACACAATAGCTTTGCAGTGACTAACATAATTCAGTCAAATCGATTTGTCTGAAGCGCATAAAAAACAGGCAAACTACAACAAAAAAAAGAGAAAAAGATGAAAACAGCTGCCATAATTGAAATTAAGAAAACGAGGCCCGTGTGAGGCTGAGCATAAACCTTTCTCTCCGTTCCACCGAGCCAAGAGGGTAACTTTCTGATGAGTTTGAAGCTACAAAGTTGTGACAAAAACAACAACAACAAAAAAAGAAGACAAAGAGAAATGACTACAGCAGTACCTTTAAAGACCCCCTCTGTGGGAGGCGAATTAAGAACTCTGAGCTGAGGTAGGCTGGAGAGAAGAGCTTCTCTCAGCTGAGACTAGACTCAGCGAAGGAAGGAGAAGGCTACGCAGGTGAAGTACCTCTGATGGTGAATCACGTTGTTCTTTATTAGGAGAAAGTGATGCAGAGATGCAGGCTCACTTCATGCGGGGGKCTCCACACCCTGAACTGGATCATTCACTGGCTGTTGGCGCATGGAAGCTTAGCGGGAACGATCCTCGCTTTGGTGATGGGAGCCTTTTCTCCTGACACCCATCTTCACATATTAGAACCATAAGGTGTTGAAAACAAAAACCTTTTTCTAAAAAATAAAAAAAAAACAAGAGAAATGTCATTATGTGAGTAGAGGGGATCTTCTGGAGGCGGCTGGAGGTCAGAACTGGTGGAATTTTTTGTGTGAAGCACTTCTGTTCTGGCTCCATTCAGACCCCAGACTCCTCTTCTGATCCTGTGGACACAAGAGTGCGTCGAGTCAAATCCACAACCTACACACAACGCACTCAAAATCAGYCCAGACAGTGTTGCTAACAGCGAGTTTTCAGGCCCCTCTAGTGCCCTTTTTCCAAAAAAAGCAACAAGCAAATCTATCTATTAGAGATGCTTTGAGGCTCCTGCTGTTTCCTCAGCRAGCAGTGTTGTGAGCCCCTCCCACTTTTCCAAAGCACTGACTAGCCTAACACAAAGAAGCAYCGCGCAGCAACTCCAGCTGCTGTCAGGGCAGAGAGGAGACCCAAATAAATCCAACCTGTGCAAAGCTGCTGCTGCTCCCAYCCTGGCTTACAAAGCAGGATGTCATTTTTACTGTAATGTACTGAAATAAATCCCTGGGACCACCCGCATTTGACTCGGAGCCTCAGTCACCTCTTCCACCCTGTCTGCCTATGTGACGTTAATACTCTCACAAAATGTATTTATGTAATGTGGATCTAAGCATTCAAGACATTAAATTATCTCATTAACTTAATTTGCAGTTTTAAATACATTTAGCAGGGTTCCCACACCTTGGTCAACATCAAATTCAAGGACCTTTCAAGGACTTCCCAGTACCAATTTCTTCAAATTCAAGAACCACGCACAACAGCAGTTACCTCCTGCTACCACAGTGTTACCAATCAACAGGTTTAATATCATGTAAATTCAATGAAAAACTCAACAACATAGAAGTTGTTGAGTCAGAAACAATGACGTCAGTTTACCGTAATCCGGAGTTATCCACTGCAACAAATGTATGTTTTTTTAATCTAATTTTATCATTTATTTTTTTTTAAAGATGATGACAATCAGTCGTGTGAATGGAGACTTTCAATCCCCCCCAAAAACATTCAAGGACTTTCAAGGACAAGTGTAATTTCTGGCTGTTTGCACAAACTTTCCAGGGCCTTGAAATAATTGTTTCCAACTGACAAACTTTCAAGGATTTCAAGGACCCGTGGGAACCCCGATTTAGTGTTTTTGCTCACTTTTTCAAATATCTCTTTAACAGTGATATTCAGCACTTCTACAGCCTAAATCACAATTATTGTCAAAGGTCCAAATATGAAAATCAGATGATGTCATCAGTCAGATGTCAGATCTGGCAAAAACGGGGGGCCTCTGCAGTCCCAAAGTGGGAGGTACTTCGTTAGTGGGAGTAGTTTGTTAAATAAATAATTGGTTGGGTTAACTGCTGTGGGAGGAGTTTGTGAAAGGTGATTGGTCAGTTTGATAAATGTGGGTGGGGTTTGAAGAAGTCATGTGAAAGCACCTCTAATCATAACTCAGGACAGGAAGGTACTATTWGCACCACATTTGGATTAAAAAATTGTTTATGTTCCTAATAATTTTTTGAGACATTTTTTCAAACTATAACTAGACAATCAATCAATTATATTTACATTCTCACAATAATTTTCTTATTACCATTACTGAATCTTTTAACTTGTCCCACAAGACATGACAATCTGACCAATAACGGTTTCATTTAACTTAAGAAAATCATGGTTAAGACAAACTCCGCCCACACAGCCAAGAAACACCCCCTGGTACTGCAAAGACCCCTACTGCCAAMATCTTCTCTGTATCAGGACATCAAAAATATTCTGATCGAGTGTACACAAACACACAACAAATATTTCATTACTGAAACAAAAACATAAACTAGAGAAGCTATGTGTGAAAAACGAAGTCTATCCTTGCTGCTTCCAGGGTTTCAGAGGTTCAGTTTCAGCCAGGTGCTGCTGTGTTTCCTCTTTCTGTAATAAAACTGTTGCCCTGGCTGCAGCATGGACACTGAGACAACACAGAGGTGATACTCACCCTGATTGTGGTGTAATGATTGGCAGTATAAACAAAGGTCCGTGTTGAGGTCAGCGGCGGGGCCCTGAAGGTGGAACCTGCAGGGCGGCCTGTCCGCTGCCGTCCTCGGCCCCAGGAGCTGAGGCTCTGAGTGGGCCTGCTGCACCTGCCTCTGCCACGCCACGCGAGCCCCGGCGCAGCAGGGCCACTCCTCCAGCCCCGCAGAGTCCAGGATGAGAGGCACGGGGAGCAGGGCCGGGCGCAGCTCGGCCGGAGAGCAGCAGAAGGCCGGACCCTGGCCRTAGTGGATGTGGATGCTGCGGTCGTCCTGCAGGTCCAGGCTCTGGTGGAAGCGAACAGAGGGGCCTTCCAGCAGACAGCCCCCCACTCGTCCCAGGGGAGCAGGGGGGTGTCCGTGGCAGCAGTGGGACTGGAGCTGTAAGGGGAGCGAGGACACAAGAACGGGAGGCCCTGTGGGGTCCTGGCACTCTGTTCCAGGGCTCGGCCTGCCGCTGGGTTCTGGCTGGGGGCAGTGGCAGGGGCTGTGCTTTGGTGGGCACGCAGGGGAGTCTTTGTCCAGGACGTGAGCAGAGGGTGCAGCCGCTGCAGCCCCGGCCCCCTGCTCCTCATCTGAGACCCTGTTCAGGCCCTGGCTGTGCTCCCCCTCCTCGTAGTGGTGGTGTCTGTGGCGATGGTAGTGGATGTGGTTGAAAACAGTCGGCGGCTGTTCTCCAAGGCAGCCTTCTTTGTTCACCACTGAATCCAGAGACCTGGGTCGAGTCTGGGCCGCGGCCTCCAGGCTGTTCCTGCGCGGGGTCCGCCCAGGACCCGGCCCGTAATACCCGAACGGATCATAGTCACTGCTCAGAGAGCTGCGAAAGGTGGACCAGCTGCCATAAACTCCCTGCAGGGACACGTCGGTACAGTTGAGTACCGAGTCACTGGAGGAACTCTGGCACGGTCCTGAGCTGGAGTCGCTCGCCGGCCCGTCGGCCAAATACCCGCTGCGCTCCGTGTGGTAGCTCCCGCCAGAGCAGCTCCCCTCCTCCTGCCGGCCGTGGGCCGCTGCTCCACGGCTCTGCGGTGCGACCGACACGCCGTGCTGCGGTCTCGACGGGTTGCGCTGGGCCGGGCAGGCGGAGCGGTGGGCGTGGCAGGACCGGCGGGAGGGGTAGTGGTGGCTGGAAGTCCTGCAGTTCCCTCCCATCCTGTGGGGCCTCCCTGGGACCTCCACGGGCAGGTGGAACCCACAAGCTGCCCCCAGCTGCCGGCTGCTGAGGAAGTGCAGCATCTGGCTGTCCATGGGAGGGGAGCCGCTGTAGTGGCCCAGATTGGGATATGGTCCAGAGGGCCCGCGGGGATAGTGGGGCCTCATGGAGAAGGGGATGGCGTGCTGAGGGAAGGGGTGGTTGTGGGGGCTGCTGTAAGGCTGGGGGTGCAGGAAGCTCTGGCTTTGCTCTGAACTCTGCTGGGGTCTGTTCCTCTGAGGCTGACGCTCCATTCCTGCAGAGCAAAACACCAACCAGGGTCAGGTGGAAAGCTTTTTTTTATTTTTAATGCTTTTTTTTATCTCAGCTGTTAAATAAAATTAACATATTTTGAATTTTATCTCCAAGAAAGCCATATGAACTTTAATGTAGGAGTAATTTTGTAGTTAGAAAACAGTTTTTAAGCAGAACATAAGCTCCTCACCCATGATGTTGTGCATGCAGAGGGGACAGGTGCGGTGCTGCAGCAGCCAGGGGTCCACACACTCTCTGTGGAACTCATGAGCGCAGGAGATGATCCTCAGATTCTAAGCGGAGAGGCAGATGTATAATTCGCTGAAATTTGAACCTAAAAACACAACGTATGCTGATGGTTCTCCTCCTACCTGCCCCTCCTGGAACTCCTCCAGACAGATGGCGCAGACGGGGCTGGAGTTGGAGCTGCTGGCCGAGCCCCAGGCCCCGCGGTGGCGCTGTGAGCCCGAGCAGCTCTGGGAGCGGTAGGTTCTGGTCTCCAGTCGACCGATGGCTCGCATGGTCTGCTGATGGACAGAGTCCTGGGCACACGGAAAGTCAGGAACTCTTTTAATGTCAATCCTGCTAAAAAATTTTTAAGCCGCAGCTGCCACTCACCCAGGTTCTGTTGGGCTTGCACTTGTAGCGAAAAGCAAAGATCAGGACGATGGTGAGAATGACGAGGACGATGGTGAGCAGGATGCTCACATCATAATGTGGCTGAAAGGCAAACAGAGAAACACGTTATCCTGTCGTAGACTAATATTTTACAGAAATTCATTTCGATTTTTTAAAATATAGTTCACACCAAAAAAGATTTGTTGAACAAGCTACAAATAATCATTATCTTACCTGTTATAGATGGCTTTTGACAATGTTAATTTGGAGAAAAAGAGTTTATTCCGAAATGACAAAAGAACAAAAGGCGGGGCAAAGACCAAAGTGGATATTGTCATCCAGTTTGAAAGATTTCACAGCAATTTATGGAAACACTGTTTTATAAATCTTTACACCACCGTCAATGAAAATCTATAACTAGCTGCAACTGATCCAATGACTTCTGGTGCACTCRGCTATTTCTACCAAAATAAACATGCACCAGAAAACTGAGAGTGATGGAAAGATTTATAATTAGCCATCCACAATAATTACTAYGACATGTCTTTTAGGATTCAAGCAGACTCACTTCCAAACTGGATTGCTGCTATCCCACTCCATGTAAATGCTGTTTTCTATATTTTTTCCCATTAACAGTTTGGTATAAAACAGATATTCTAGCAGAAATTTCATTTCAGTTATCCTGGCTGCATCAGAAGTGCTAGAGCTAGATGCTGCTATTTGAGCTTACATAAAAACACAGAATTCTGTGTAAATAACTGTGCAATGAGAAAGTAACGAGGGGTTAAAGTTCTATAAAACTTCAGAGATGTGAATTGTTTGAACAGCAGGATTTTGCAGGTCTTAGCTGAAATCAGACTAGCCATTAGCTCATCAGTGCCATTTGTAAATCAGGGGTGCCCAGTACGGATCCTTGAGGGCCACCGTTCCGCGAGTCCTATTTGTTTCCCTGTTTTAACAAACCTGTTTTAAATTAATGTGTGATTAACAGTGTTTCTACAGAACTTAAAGAGCTGCTGAAGAGAAGAGAAACAATAACCAATAATAATAATAATAATAATAATAAAATAAAAACACGCAGGACCTGACCTGGGCACCACGCTTCCAAATTCTGTTTCTCCAAACTGAGGTTGTACTTAAATCTACATATCTACAAGTAATTATAAATGTTACTAACAAATAAGCCAAAAATGATTTCAAACTACAGCAAATGGACTCAATCACGTGCATGTTTCTTTCTCTATTCCCCCTCTTCTTTGTTTTTGTTTATCATGTAGTTTTGTACTCACAGTTCAATGTAAATACAGTCACTGATGCAATAAAAATAAATAGGAGGACGTAAATTTCCCAAAGCATATAAAGCTGCTTCTTCCCAGCTGATGAAGGTAAGTGTGTGAGCTGGACGCCGGGCTTACCCACTTGGGCTCCATCTTGATCTCAATAACAACATTGGCTTCCTCGTTCTTGTTGACCAAACCCATCAGCTTCTCTGCGTTCTCCCCCTTCACCAGCACAACTGGACGGGGAAGGGAGTCTGTTTCTTGAAACTGCGAGAACTTTTGTGTGTGGGGGGGGATCAGATGGACGGAGACAACGAAAAGAAAAGAGAACTATAAGTGTGGCGCAGCACTATCACTGAGGACAGTCGTCKGCGTTGGGGCAACACTCACGTCGGCAGCAGCGTTGGTGTCGTCGCTGACATCAAAGATAACRGCCTGAGCTCCTTTATCCAGCGCCATGCGAGCCTGAAGGAGACAAGAATGACAACAAGTGTTTTTATATAATGTGATCAGTTTCATTCTTAGTCTAAAAGTGTTGTTTTAAAAGTACACTGCTTACACCTGTATATGTACTTGTTGTTAATCACCACCAGGTGGCAGTCATGTCCTGCCGAGGCCTCAGACCTCACAGGAAAAGTTGCAGCTCAATTTTTTTCGTCTAATGTTGGAGACAAACACGACCTCAAAAGAGTTTTAGGACCAGAGAACAATCTGAAGCCCAGTTGAAACCTTTCTAAAGATTGTAGCATCAGGAAGCAGGAGAGRAAGGTTTTATAGTGTCCAAACAAAAGAAGGGTAATGATGAATGATGGCTTAATAACTCAATTTTTGCAACAACATGCAGACAATCCAACTGAGAAAATCTGCAATGTGGAGCTACTTTTTCAGACAGAAAAAATTAACATGATGTGACGAGAGTTTAGCAGATCACAGAAATATTACGGTGACAGCTGCTTTAAAGCCATAATCGTAGAGGTTTAATGATATATTTGTACTGAACCACAATACAGGCATCAGGGTTGGGTATCTGCCTCATGTCTGGACATAAAGTTTGACTCGGGATGCTGCATCTGTCTCTTGGTCTCGCTGTAAAGCATGACGACGTCTGCAGGCGAAAGTGTTTTAATTGAAACGTTGTTTTGCTTCAGTTCGAGGCTACGTGCAAACTGCAGGTCTTCACGCTAAGCTCCGATGTAGGTTTTTTTGTGGTTCACATCATATTTTAAGTTTGAATGTCATCAAACTCCAGTGTGAACGACCTGAAGGAAACTGCATGTGCAGAAGACGTGACGTCACATGAAGGGCGCCACATGTACACAAGTAAATATGTCAGTGTGTGTACTTGTATTTGTACAATTTTAGGAGAGTTTCTGGTATACAAACTTTCCTTATCAAGATCAGTGGTTCTTATGGGGACCAAAGATTGGTCCTAATATGGTGGAACTCTATTTTTGGGTTGGGGGTTAGGTTTAGGACTGAGGCATGAATTAAGTTTAGGTTAGGTTTACGGTTAACTACTGGTGGGGTTAGAGGTCAGAAGTGACTGGAAATGATTGGAAGTCAATAAACGGTCCCAATAAGGATAAAAATACAAAGGTGTGTGTGTGAATTCTGAAGTTGCTGCGCCACAAACTTCATTATAGATCTGTTAAGGTCAGAGCAGTCACGCTTGTTTTGTCTGGTGTTTACATTTGATCTCACTCCTTCCTGCGCAGAACTGGACTGAGATCAACAAACAGAAAACAGGGAGAAACTTACTCAAAACGTCGATCTCATCTGATTAGTGTATAAGATCCGATAACAACATTGGTATCGATGATATGAATGTTTGGAATGATTCAGACTGAGATCATTATGAGTCAGATATAAAAAAATAAATCAAAAGTATGACATTCAGACTCTCATAAAATTATTAGATAAGGGTTCCAGATTGGCAAAAAGTCCAATTTGGGCCTTTTTTACCAGCAGCGTTCCATGCAAAGATATTTATTTATTTATTTATTTATTTATTTATTTACTTATTTATTTAATATTTTTTTAATTCTATAAACACAGCCACTTGTAAAAAGCAATTATGCAATAAAGAAGCTGTTTGTGTTTGAGCCCATACTGAACCATGACGCTAGTATGTAGCATTAGCTAACAATACTCACCTTAAGCAAGTCAACATTAACTATGTAAGGATGTAATAATAATAATAATAATAATAATAATAATAATAATAATAATAATAATAATAATACATTTTTGACGGTGCCTTTCATGGCACTCAAGGACACTGCACAATTAAAACACAATGCAATAAAACAAAAAAGAATAAAGCAAAGAATAAAATAACAATAAAATATCATAGCCTACGTAACAATTAACACATAGACCTCAACAGTGTCTCAGATTTATCAGGAATCCATTTAGTTGGTGAGATTTAAGTTCTTCTTTAAAAAAAAAATGTAGAAACAACTTTTTTTTAATTCAGCTGCTCCCTTTTTCAGGGTTTGTTACAGTGAGCAAATTGCCAAATGCTCTTCCTGATACAACCTGGCCTCAAATCTGGAGCCTCAGGATTACAAGTCCTTGCCACGGACCACCGAGCCCCCTGACTGTAGAAGAAATATATAATGTATAATAAGTATAACATCACTATACTTCCCCCTAAACTCTTAAGTATTTACACAACTACCAATGCTCTCCAGCAGAWGTGCAGTAGTCAGGTTAGTATTAGATTGACAGGTATTGAGTTATGTTTGGTCACACCTGCTGTCTGACGGAGATATTTTGTTGCTTCTAAATGCTGTTTTTGTCATCAACATGCTTTCACTAAAGCTCAGGAAAACCTTTGGCAGAAGATGAAACACAAACAACAAGCAGTCGCTTCATCAATGTCTCATCACGAGCTCTTAAACGTCTGACATCTGCCAACGCCTAATGAGGAGGAGGTGAAAGTTTGAACGCCTGACGTCACAGGTCGGAGCCAGCACTTAACGGTCCCCACGCAGTCGAGTCAAATAGACTTAAACAACAAGGAAAGTGTCAAGCAGTCCCACGGGAGCAGGTTGGAGTCAAAGTACAGGTGAAGCCTTTCATGTTAAAAGGTCAAGTGGCTCGCAGCTCTGTTGCAACAACCTTTTCCCCTGGTTTCATCAGAACAGTAATTGCAGTGCATGCATGGGCCTAAACGAGGTGTGGTCACATCAGAGAACAACTGGGAGACAAAAATGAATGCTTGACAGGTGGGAATTGGCCTTAACTGGGGTTCAAAATGTTCCCTGCGCTGCACCAAGCTCGTTCTGCGACGACGAGCTTCGACACACAAGAACATATCACTTCCTACATGACCGCTGTGGTCTTTTTATATCTCCGTATTAGTAGTAGCAGTTCCAGATTGGGGCTGCCAAACCATGTGGCTGGAGCGAGCGAGCCGCAGGTCTGGAAGCAGGCTGACAGATCTCATTACGTGATTAATAGGAGGTATATTTAAACTTTAATGGTGCAAAGAAAATGCAAGTCCGACGCTGACAAGACGGCTAAGAGGACTATCAACACGAGCGTTTCAACATCTCCGGGGTTTGCTACGGTTGGGAGTGAAGCAGACATGGCTGCGGTTGAGTAAACACTCATCCTCACGCAGAGCAACCTGACACATGAGATTACCCACGGCTTGGCGCCCGAGCAGAAACGACGGCAGCGCCGGAAATGACTGTGGTTTACAGAGCGACGCGGCAAAGACGTCATCGCTGAAAAACTAACAAACAACGCGCCGACCGCAACAAGCTGCTCCTTATTTTTAAACACGAGCGGGTTTTCCGCCGAGGCTGTGGGAAAACACGAGAGGAGGGCTCAGCAGGAATCTGTCTGGGAGACGGGAACGGTCTGAGCACAGCTGTCACAATCCCAAACACACCTGGGGGACCAGAGCAGATCTGTTTCCTGCAGGAGCAGCACAGGAGCACACAGAATCAAAACCACATTTATGAATTATTTCAAGCTCAATCAAAAACTGAGCCAAAAATACTGATATTTTGATCTATGAACTTCGTAGAAAAAGAACCAGGATCAAATGAAATGTAAACATTGCTGCCACTGACTGGTTAGGGTTACCTGTCTATAAGACAGAGAGAAACACAGCAGAAATAAAACCTCGGGCAGACAAAACGTCTGAAATACAAAGAGAATGTAAGATCTAGGTTTGCAAATGAATAAATAAATAAATAATAAAATAGGAGAACATCTAAACAGGCCCTGGGTTTGGTGTGTGACATCATGACATTAGGTTGACTTCAGTTTGTAAAACCCCCGAAAATCAAACAGTGTTCATTTAAAAATTCAGTAAAAATACCAAAATCAGTCATGTAAAGTCCAACTTTTACGACCCGTTTAAACGTGGAATCAAAATGAAACTTTAAAGTGTGTCGAAGCTGTAGAGAGGGCTGCGTTTTCTCACGTTGTGCCAAAATCTTTTGTGAAAAACATTTGCAGGTTTTTAAGAATTTCACCTATATTGCACCGTTCCTGCTGGGGCCAGACATATATTTGTATATTTTGTCGGGCAATGGGGTCAAACTTATTTTCACCAAGGGCCACATGAGCATTATAGTGGCCCTCAAAGGGCCAGTTGTGATTAACTTTGATGTTTCATGTTTAAATAATGAAGTAGAGAGATATGTCAGCGATCTGTTCATTTTTTACAGTATCGAAAAAAAGACACAAGTGTGTTTGTGCGTATTTAAATAATTTGTGTTTATGTAATATGATATCAGTAAATATTTGTTCTCAGCCATAACAGCAATATTAATAGATATCATCACCATCAACAATTTTATTTATAAAGCACTTTAATACCAGCCACAGCTGAACTAAGTGCTGAACATCCGCAAAAAATAAAAACAAAAAGAAGATAAAAACAGATAAAATCACTAAAATTAAGTAAAATCAAGTCTCATTTGGGTTGAAATGTACGTATCGGTACATTTGTAGTTTTTGAAGTCTTTTGGAAAAACAACCAAACTGCAAAAAGCTGGAAAAGTGCAGACATTTTTATTTGAAGTAGTTGAACAAACAGACACATTTATAAAGGCTGTCCTCTCTTAGAACAAAGAGTTTCAGCACGTTCTTCAACTCATCCCCATAATTCATTTCTGCCCAGGTGCAAAAGTAAAACCTGGTCCTTGTTTCTACACCAGCAGTGGCTCCATTTCCAGCTCTCCCACTGAAACAAGTCATCTCTCACATCACATTAATGCCAGCAAATCAGCATCTTATCAGAATGTTGTAACAAACCGTAACTCTGATGGATTGCTTTCACAGAAACAAAACTAAACAGGAGAGTGATTTGTGGGATATTTTGTGAATTATTAAATGAACACATCACACAGATAAACCACATTTTTTTCTCTTGTGGCACCTAATAAAAATATAAATGCAAACCTCATCAGCTTGTATTTCTTTTTGAGCAGTAAAACCTCCGA